TTTCAGAAAAAGGCAGAGCCAGATTTTAGAGCGGTCGACTGAGTCGAAAGTCGCTTTCAGATCTAGGAAGACAGAGATGTTGGATCTACGAAAAGAATGCCGGTGCTCCAGAATTTGGCGCAGAGTGAAGATGTGGTCGATACAACCTCGACCAGGTCNTTTAGAGACGATGTTGATTAAACTGATTCCTCTATGATTTTCACAAGGGGATCTATCACCTTTCTTGTAAATCGGTATGATCACCGACTCACACCACTCAGCTGGAACCGCCTCTCTTTCCCATATTGAGCCCACTGCCTTGTGGGTCAGACTTTTGAGTCGAAGGCTCCGGTTAGGGAAGCACTGTACAACTGTTTTGACCTGTTTGGGTCTCATCAGCTGTGCGATGCCATCGACCCAACAGGGGATCAAACCCGGAACCTCACAGGTAGAACGCAAGCGTACTACCCACCCGACCCCCGGGTTGCTGATCGGCCCGTTTTTCATTTCTCATTTACACAACAGCACAACCCATCTTTGCCAGCTTGTTGCGGATATCGCGCGTCACTCAGCACTAGCCCCCGTAAAATATGCTTGATTGTCATGAGGTGTCTTGCAATAGATGACCCCGGGTTCTGTGTGGCCGCCTGGCTGTCGAGAGTTGGTTGCGTCATCAACTTTACCAATCACTTTGAACTGTATTCGGCCTTTCGCTGTGATAACTGAAGGTTATTTCTACCCATATGTGCGTCACCGCAACTGTAGGTGAACTGATATACAATTTACAGCAGTGATTGAGATTAAACTAAATGGTAACATCTCGCTATATGTGTCTTCTTTCGGTCTTGGCGCCATTGAAAATTATCACTTAACGACGGAATTCGATTATTTGATCAGCCTTCCTCTATGTCTTTGAAACGGAAACGATGGGAGCAATCCTTTAATTTCATAGCAATAGTAATTTTCAGGTGCTTGACGTTTATCTATTGGGTTAAGATGAGCTGTAAATAGAATAGGGTATAAGGTTTCCGAATATATGATATCAAGAACCGTGATTGGTTTCTTTTTCAACTAACTCTTCCTGTCTCTTCTCCACACACCTTTATGCAGACTCTAAAATCCATTGGTATGGAAAAACAGAGTGTAACAGATGTGGGAAGCGAAAGAGACACCGAATTACCCAGATCGTTATCTTTTCCAAGCAAACACGCCAGTTTGCTCTATTCACTTTGGAAACGTGAATTGGATCAGCCCTGTCGTGTACCGAATCAGCTGATCGGTTGTGGAATTCCCTGGGCACTGGACGAGGTGGACGAATTCCGAGGAGGGAAATTAGCACTAGTCAGTTCTGGACCACGTGGGCCTCACGGAGGAGCACAGTGTTTACGCTTTGCACCGAACGGATTGTGGCTCGCGGTGGGTTCTATCAGCTCCAATCCGGACTCCCGATTGGCAGAACTGGATGTGCCGGACAAGGATCGATCGATTTTGGATTGTTCAGTTTGTTTGTATAAAGTAAGGAAACTCGAATGCATTTTTATTTTACTTACGATCTTTTTGGCTTTCTTCTATTGAATAAACTAATATAAAAATACAATTTTAAGAAAGAAGAAAGTGGCTAAAATAATGCCCCCGGGATTCAGTGGAATTGGGAAGTTATGTGATAGCCTTGTTAGTTTAATACGCGAGCTCAATCAGAATCTCATGCCCACTTGAACGGCTTGGCAGCGCCGTTCAGAGATAAAACTGGTTTCGACGGCAAATCTATCGTATCTACGTACAAATTACAAAACAACATCCAATAGTAGAAGAACAGGAAGCATGAATTGAATTCTTCATCGATCTCAATCAAATCAATGTAATGTAAGTAAAGCATTGAACGATTTAAGTTCAACCGGCCTGCGAGTTCTGATCAGATTGATCGAGATCGATCGCGTATAGTCAAGATCCAATAGAAAATAGGGAAAAAGAACATGCGATTGAGAATGCAAAAGGGCAGAGTTAACCAATGGGCATCCTAATACATATATATATATGTCGATTGTGAAAAGTTCAGTAGCGTCGGTCAAGGCAGTCAGCTTACATGCTAACTGGTGGATGTCACATGCCTCTGCAAATTGGATGGGTAAATTCGAATTTGAAAAGATCAGCGCTATCGTTGTGGCCTCATAGATCAGCTGTTAGAGCATACGCGTACAAAGCGTAGGCGGCGTCCATGCGTGGGTTCGAACCCCACCGAGGCTACAGAACTTTTCACAATCGACTTACAACCTTCAAATCTGCCAAGCAACAATTTCAACAATATATATATTATTATTATTATCTCAATTATCTCAACGGATCAAAGAACACAGTCCACGCTGGCTCAAACAGGGCGAGAGTGGAGCTGTGTTAAGCTCTGTTGTTACTCATCTGGTAAGGACGGGATACTTGGTTGACATGCGCTCGGCATTTACAATCATTAATTGAGTCTCACGACACCCCTTGAGAGCAATACGGTTTCGGACGTTAGCAACCGCAGAGGCGATTAGAATCCGATTCATGAAGCCTGAGCAGTGCACACAACGCAAATTGTTTCAACTTCTCAAACTCCCATGGCCAGGGGAAGAGAAAATCGTTTGTTCACACGATCATGACGTAACACCATGACATAAAGACTTTGGTTATGTGATTCAAACAGCGCACAACTTTGGAGCTCTCTTGGGCTCATTGCCAAATACATAAATCATCCATCTTTCTGTTTGACCCTATTGAAATTGTTTCATATAAATGTGGTTGTAAAGGCTTGAAAAGGAATTCACCGAAAACATATGTTCACCTACATCATGTTCTTAAAAGACCCAAAGTTTAGCATTTATTCAATTTGGTTAATTAACCAATAGGAACTGAAGCGAATTGTCAGTTGGACTACCACTAGGATAGATACTAAATTTACTTAAGTTAGGAAGCAGCGTTTGGAACTCAAACCCCAAGACAATTAGTAGTTCACTTTGCAAAACATCAATCGATAAGGCCATCACTCAAAATAACACCAGTATCATCCAGTTCATCGCCATCCCCTCTTTTCCTTTAGTATCCACTAAAAGCAAGGATCACTTCTCCTTCGTTACAACTGACCGGTCATACCCGTACCGTATACGCTATTGAATGGGCTCCATGTCCGGTGATCAGTGAATTGCCTCCGACCAATACAGTATCAGGTGACCACGATTCAATATCTGTCGAGTCGTGGCCATTGGCCTCGGCTTCAGGTGATGGTACCGTTCGAGTGTGGTGGATCTCACCGGGACTATTGAATGGCTCGCAACCTGGGTCCAAAAACCGCGCAGCTGCTCATCCTGCTTCCATGGTCGTGTCCATATCCGAGACAAGCGCGATGCCTCGGACAACAACACCAGTTCCTAGTCACGGATCAATTCGTGCCGCAATCACCTCACACAAAGGCGTGTTGTGCGCAGTTCTCGGTCATCCAGGGTTTGTGTACAGTTTGGCATTTCGACCGCTGGCCGGCGGCACTGCATCCGTACGAGTTGCGGATCCACTACGAGACCGATTTGCACCACAGACAAGTCATTTGTTAGCCACAGCTGGTTACGATCGATCTGTCCGATTGTGGGAGATAGGATCTCGCAGGGTTGAGGTGAGTTTCATCCGACGTTCTGTCTAACCCTCCCACAAGACTCTTGATGCTTTACCTAGTCTTTTCTTTGCAATTCACTTCCCGTCCAATAAAATCAACCTTGGTTTGTTTTCAAACTGGGTGCAATTGGGAACAAAGGTCATCGTATTATGTTATAACGCATGCTCCGAAAAGTAGTGCTAACGTGAACCGTATTGGCTAGTATACGATGCAGTGTATGCTTCAACAAAGTGGAAGAGTGTTGCAAATGTTCGACCATTTCCAAAAAAGCAGAATGTTTACAATACATGCTTTTCATACAACGCAACTGGTCTTCCAATTCGACCAAGAGGACTTTGCTGACCTCTGGTTATGTTGTATTTTGATTGCGTAATCCCATTTAGAATGATCAGGACAGATCAACTTTAATTCTGTTTCGGAATAAATGCCTCATAAGAGCGGGTTCCAGATTAAATTATTTTTGTTCCAGAGAGTTTCAATTGATCAGCGAGTTTGGAAACCTTTTTCGAGCTTGTTCAAACAATCTTGGAAAAGGATATCATTCTGTTCCACCTGTGTAACTTTCACCGCAACTACAACGGATCCGCTGAGCAGCATAACAGATCAACGATACTATTCGAATGTGATGGAAATTTGACATGTCGACTTTTTGCAGAATGCGTAGCAGGATGTTCGGCTATGAAGGGAGCTTAGATAGTTCGGCAGATACAGTCGAAAATATGATCTTGTTTAAAAAGGAAAATCTCCGAAATTTTATCAATTTTTATTCCTCCGTTATTACGGGCCTCGTTTCTTTCGATTGGGTTCCATATGAGATATTTTCAGGGTAATTGCAATGCAACAGAATTTGTTCGGCAAGTTCTTCCCTGTGATACATACAGCTCGTAGAGTGTTCTCAGATCACTACGGTTCTACGTTACCCGGGGGTAAATGTAACCGGAGAATTTCATAGTGCAAACTATCCCGGCTTTGTTTTTCCAAGGATAGCTCATGATAGTGGGCCGTCCGGATGTAAACGGAAAAGAATATGTAGTTACCTCATTCTTTATCGTACAAGGCACAAATGAACTTGATTTAGTGGCAATCAACAAGATGATCTGAATAACACAATATATATATATATATATATATATATATATATATATAATATAACACAATATTGGCCATCAATTTTGTGCCCTCTCAATCAGCTGTCTACGCACATTAAGTAGGTANTTAGTGGCAATCAACAAGATGATCTGAATAACACAATATATATATATATATATATATATATATATAATATAACACAATATTGGCCATCAATTTTGTGCCCTCTCAATCAGCTGTCTACGCACATTAAGTAGGTAGAATGTTATAAGAAGAATACTATGTATGGACGTTTACATAATCACATGGGTTCAGGCAGAAAGCACTGGGTTGTTCAGTCATTACTAAAGTAATTTGGGTGTGAGTGAAAAAGGAAGAGCGGAGTGTTTACATGAAAACAGTTATGTAATGAAATAGCATTAGCCTCGGAGGAAAGATAGTTGAACGTGGTCACATAATACAGAAAACATACCCCCGGAAATAAATTCAAACGGACGTATAAACTTAACTGATTACACATTTGGCCAATTGAGTAGGTCAAAGAGAATTATGCAATAAGGAAATGAGAAGGGTGAAGTGATGCAGTTGTTATTACTATGGCAATTCCCATCCCCTGTCCTTCCAATCATCTCAACCGTTCCCTTACATCATCGGTGACAATCCACCCTATTCAACCTATTTAATGTACGTAGACAGCTGATTGAGAGCACGCGAAATTGATGGCCAATATGAATTCTGCTCATATTGTATTGCTTGTTTTATTCAAATGGATCAAAGGGAAAGGATGTTTCCAATATTTTAAAAACAAAATAATTGCCCTTGGAAAATAATCTAATTTTTGTTAACGAAAACTGTGTGGTGCACTCGGTTTCGCAGAGGAGTTTACCTGCTTGCATGAATTCTTGCTATTCCCCATCGTCATATCATCATCACTCTGCTTGTATGCGTATCCCTCGAATTGGGGTAAAATCATCTTGTCGCCAATTCCCTATGAATCAGAAGCAGCATCCCTAAGCGGATAGGTTTGTATGTGTCCCGTAAACACTGAAGTATGGCTCCATTTCTGTCCTCCTGGAGAATATTCACTAACCCGTGGGCAAGTTTGTGGTGAAATGAGTTACATATGCTATAGGGAACTTCACTTCTTCGTGAATCTTTGATGCGCTTACTGTGTAGATGCGTTTTTGCACTCGTTGGTTGCAGTTTGCTGTGTGCAAGCTATGAGGCTGTGAGGTCGTGCAGATAAACGGTTTGTTGATCAACACTTAAAAGTTTGCCAGTTTTCCAAGATCTACTTCAAAACTGCTTACCTTTTTGAACGCACCAGACCGATTACGTACCATGAAATTGCATTGCGACAAAATCTGTGTGCTGCAGGGAACAGTTAGTTGAATTTCCCATAAAAAAATATAATGCGATGTTGCCAAACTTCGTTATCAACCTATGGAAGTGCTTCACACCGTTTCGTGTCTGAAGCTCCGGGATCCAAATTACTAGCTGTTCTTAGTTTAAGGGTTAATTTCTTCAGAATGACCTCAGAAAACCATTCAGTACTTTAACTGGGTTATCGAAACCGTTTGACCGAAGTGTACTAACATCCGATGGATCACCAGCATGAAGGGACCATACGGTCAGATATGGATGGGTTTTTCACGGATTGTTTTTTATCACAGGCCATCGGAATCAGCCTTATAATTGCTCAAACCCTATTTTTGGAGTTAACTTGATCACGGTGTGCGGACGGCTATTTTAATTGGCTTCAACATCTAGTACACACAACCTGTCCGTCTGTTTAATCAAACAATGATCGCATGCATGTTCTCATTCGGGAATCTCTCCGATGACCGCCCTCCCCCCCGCCCTCCACTCCCTTAACCCCGACAGCTTTTGATTGAACTGGGCAATGCACACCAGGCCCATATCAACAGTGTAACATTCGGTTCCAAACCGGAACACCTGTTTTCCGCAGACGCGAAGGGCATCATCTGTGTCTGGACGCCGGCCAGTTCGAAACGAACTACCACACAGTCGAACAAACTGAGTCGATGGAATTTGGCAAAACGTATCATGCATGAAGAGTTCAAAGTAAGTGGGCTCATTTTGACATCCCAGTAAAACATTCAAAGGTGATCGAATTTGGTAAAAAGAAATCTACAATTATTCAAATATACCTATTGTCATTGTTTTCATTTGTACATAGACAAATCTGTTGGATCATCAAATATCATCATCATCAACCGCAGCAGCAGCAGCAGCAGTGGTCTCACAACCGTAATGCAAAACTGATCGCACAGTGGCGCAGTATACGCGACTTTTCAACTTCAGTGAAACGTCACGTCGTCGCCACAGGTGTTTAAGTCCTGCGTATGCTAATCGAACCTTGGAAATACGGGCGGTTATCTCCTTTGCTGCGTTACCGCCCTTGGTCACGCAGCTACCCAAGTATGAGAAATAGCCAACTTTAGCTAATTCCTGATCGTCTAGTTTCAGAGCGGAACTCAGCGACACCCAGTCTTGCAGAATCACTTTGCATTTTGAAGATGCAAAGCGCATGCCGAACGGAGCCACTGAACTTGAAAGTCTGTCAAGTGCGCTTTGCACATCCTCCATAGATTTAAGCAGGTAAACGATGTCGACAGCGTACTTCAAATCGCACAGCTTTTCTCCAGCTGCCCATTCAATACCTACATTTTGGAGACCACTTAGTATGTTCCCCAGTATTTCGTCCACGACGAAATTTAACAGGAGTGGCGAAAGAGGGTATCCTTGACGAACACTGCTGCTATTTACGAGTGACCTACTCAGCTCACCGTAAACTCTTACGCTACCAGAAGTATGCAAGTAGAGTGTCCTCAGTATGTTCACATACTTCTGCGGCATTTCTTTGCGAAGGGGCGAACCCATAAGGGATTCGCGGTCAACTGGATCGAAGGCTGCTTTGAGGTCAAGGAACACGATAACCGTTTGTCGATAGTGCGTATGACGTAGTTCAAGGACTTGACTCAGAGTGAAGATTTAATCGATACAACCGCGGCCTGATCGAAATCCTGCTTGTTTTTCGCGCATATTTGTTTCCCTAAACGGCATCAGACGTCGAAGTATGATGGAGGCTAGTAACTTGGTGACGATTGGGATCAAAATATTCCACGGTAGTTTGCGCAGTGGTTCTCAAAAATTTGAACAATCAGTGATTCGCTTCAAGATGAGATAATGCTCTCCTGTGACCAGATGTTACGCATCTGATCAGTAAATGAGTCAACGAGGTCACCGTCGCCCATCTTGAAAATAGTGGGAGAAAGCCCATCAGGTCCTGCTGCTTTTCCTTTCTTTAGGGCTTGGATGCAAGATTGAACCTCTACTACGATAGGAGGTTCAGATGACTGCCCACGAAGCCTCAGCTACACCGGAGGAGTTAGTTCAGCTAGAGCCTGGTCAGCTGAACTGTTTGTTGAAGTACTCCACCCACCGGTCAAGCCTTTGTTCTCTAATGTGAATAGCTTGTCCACTTTTGTCGCAGATTGTTTCACTAACTGCGGTTCGCCGACGTCCCATGTGGCGTACCAGTTGGAATAGTCTTTGACTATTCCCTGATGCAGCTGCGACTTCCATTTCACTAGATATGGTTGCTCACCAGTTCTCACGGTCTTTCTTGAGGCTCTTCTTGAGTTGACGTTACAGACGCCACCTACCCCTGCCTTGATCCCGGTTGGACTGGATTTACCGCTTTTTCTCCATCAGTGCTACCGAACGATCAAACACCCAGTGCCTCGGGCGGGCTACTGCTTCAGATCAACAAGCAACGTTCTATGCGGATTGCATTGCTCGGCTAATCTGATCTCATTGTTCATTTACACTATCACCCTGCAGTGCGTTTAGCTATTGCCCTAGTTCTGATTCAAAACGGGCACGAACGGCTGGGTCAGATAAGCGATGATCCGCCAATCGAGTTTGGTGGAATTTTCTGTTACCAGTGAGTTGGAAAGTGAGCTGCATCAAAACTAACGCATGATACGATTCAACGCAGGTGTTCCAATAGGACCTGCAGTTTTTTACTGAACCAAGCCAACGGTAACTTACTGCTATGTGGTCGATCTGAGTTAGCGTTCCAGTTGAAATTGGGCGCCTCGTTGCTGTCCGTTGAGAGTTGTGTCGGAATTTGGTGCTGGATAGAAAAAGATGATGATCTGCACAAGACTGAAGAAGTCGCTCGCTATTATCTGTTCGCTGGGAAGGCAGAGCAGAATGATCGTCTGGGAAAGCATCCGATGCGCTCGGTTTTCCAACTTGAGGCTTTTTTATTACACACCTAGGTGTGATGAACAGCAGACGGGGTAAACCCCATAGTCACCAGGGCCTGTTGTTAAGTGGTTGAAATCGGCAACCTAAGCCCGGAACTTGGAGTGGTGAACCACATAACGCCCCGATAGGTTAGGCGTGGTATTGAACCGGGCGACAGCAGAGCTGCCTACCACCAAAGTCGCGTGGCGGTGGCGGGGCTCGAACTTCGGACCATAGGGTTCTGAGCACGCCAGTGACCTGAGAGAACAATTATATCGGAGCTTCGACTCAACCGAATGAGTTCGGTGAGTTTATCATAAAACTCGCCCTTTTGTGCTCCAGAACTGCGGTTCGTCGGAGCATACACTGAAATGATGAACAGACACCTTTTGGCGTTGCTCCCCTTCCAGACGATGAGCCGCATCGCACATAAAACGGCTGTTGACCGGGCTCCAATCGAGTAGTGCGCCTTTGGCTGCATTATCCAGTACAATGCCCACACTAAACTGGTCTACTGAACGGGCTTCTTCATCACCTGACGTGCGAAGGAAGAATCTCGAAGACAACCCCGGTGCACTTAGATGACATATAGTAATCGGATCCTGAAATTGAGTCTCCGACACGCAGCAGACATCCATTACCAAAGAGTTCATTGTACGCGTTAAACATGCTTGTTGATCTATCTCCTTCAAAGTCCTCACGTTGAAGGGCCCCAGATTCAGTGTTTGACGAGGCTTCAGCATCTGCAAACAATTTTGTGGTAAATTAATTACCGAGCGGAAGAAAAGGCTATTGGAGAGGGTTCCGAATGGGAGGCAAACAGTTAAACAAAGGTTGGGGTATCTGAGCAGTAACTCGCTTATCACTGCCCCCCACCCCACGCTCGATGCAATGGGGACCACAGTCC